TCTCTCTCCCTCTCTCTCTCATTCTTACCTGACTCCTTACCTTCATCTAATTACCTGAGCGGGGCCACTCAGAGAGCTTTTCCTGATCAACATACCTTACCTGGGTTGGTAGACAAGTTGTGTTTTTGAGCCGTTCGTCTTATAAATCCGGATTCTGAAAATTCATCTAAATTCTTAAAAAATTATCAAAATGTTGAAAATTCTTTAAAAAATTCTACAGAACTTCCTTATTTTTTTATCGGAATTATAAATATTTATCTAGAAGAAGTGTGTGTGTGTGTGTGTGTGTGTGTGTGTGTGTGTGTGTGTGTTTTATGACCTGTGGTGTAATGGTCAGCATGCTCGCCTCGCAAGTGAGTGGACCCGGGTTCGATCCCCGGGCTGGGTGAAACTATGGGCAAGTTTCTTAACACCATTTGCCTCTGTCTACCCAGCAGTAATTGGGGACCTGGATGTTAATCGATTTGTGGATCGTGTTCCGGGGTAATGGTTAGCCAGTGCAGTTGGCGAGTTGTCCGGTCTTCTCGGACTATTCCTTGACACTGGGTCATGCAGCTCGTTAACTCAGGGTGTGGTTGTTGTGTTGGCGACAGTTTCTACACCATAAACCAATTCACGCCTAGGTGACCCTTGGGCCGGCCATCCTCGTTACATGAGGGACAACCATTATTACTGTTTAATCATTGTCTTGATAATTTCATAATTTATAGAGGTACAAATATTTTCTGGTGTATTAGAGAGACCCCCCTCTCTCTCTCTCTCTCTATGGGAAATACTAAAGCACAAAACAGTTGACCCCAGAAAAATGTTCTTCAAATGATTTAATAACAGAACCGGAACAAAGATTTCAACCAATATTTTTTTTTTTGCAATAGAAATAAAACAAACATTTAACTTATTTTACAAAGAAACAAAAAAACCCACTTATTTCATGCAACTGGCTATCAACAATGTATTCAACGTATTGTACAATGTTGCCAAATTATTTCATTCATCATATTTTGCAATATTCTAAAATAATTCAATTCATTTTGCAATAGACATCAAGAGACAGAATTCAACCCAATTTGCAGCTGAACGAAGGCAGTGAATTCAACTAATTATACACTAGGTGGAAATTATAGTGAATTCAACTCACTTTAAAGGATATAAACAAGGAATTCAACTCATCCTGCAGTATACCGTCGCCAACTCACCTCATTCTGCAGTTGATTGAAAGCAAACACAAAGGTTATGACCTACTGTAGCGAATGTGTTTAATAGCTAGGCATTGATATACAGCACATAATGAAAGCAGGAGTGAAAGCAAATTGATTATACGACTGATTTTGAAAGCAGGAGTGAAAGCAAATTTATTATACGACTGATTTTGAAAGCAGGAATGAATGAAGAATGTGGAAATATTATGTTGGGGAGGGGTAAGAGAGGGAAAGGGGGTAGGGGAAGGGATGGGTGAGGGTGAGAAAGGGGTAGAAGGAGAGAGTGGGGAGAGACAGAGTGGGAAGGGAGAGGGAAAATATTTCTTGTTATCTAAAAATTATTCAGAATCTGTGATTTTTTTGAAGTGGATGAGACTGACCAATCACGAGTCAGTAATTCTCCTTCAACCAATCACGGAAGAGGGATTGGAACTATCTAATCACGGTATGAAGGTGATTGGACATATACGACGATTTGGGTGAACGAAAGATTGGAAAAAAAACACAGATTAGACGAAAGATTAACAGAAATAAGATGAAAGATTAGAACACACACACACACAGGGATTGGAAGACACAAACATACACGAATCATTGAGAGTTTGAATCACTAAGATTGGGACTGGCGAATCTTTGGGGGGGACAATACAAATTTCTTCAGTTCATTGGTTCCTTGTGATTAGTTGGGCAAGTTTTTTTTATTTGTTTGCTCTCTCTCTCTCTCTCTCTCTCTCTCTCTCTCTCTCTCTCTCTCTCTCTCTCTCTCTCTCTCTCTCCCTGGCATCTGTGACCTCCTTTACAAGATTTAAAGTTGAGTTAGACATCACTGGCTGGTGGCTGAGTGTGGCTGGTGGCTGAGTGTGGCTGGTGGCTGAGTGTGGCTGGTGGTGTGGATGTAGTCTGTCTGAAAGTCGACCATAATAATAACACAGGTATCTTATCAGCCAATGATAATGGACTGATATGAGTATGGATTATTTTCATTGGTTGTGAATATTAAACCTAAATTATTAAAGAAAACTGTTTTTGATTGGTAGATAAGGTTTAGTAAATAATAAATGGGTAGCCAATCAGAAAGCGGCATTTTAACAACAAGGTATTTCATTGGTTGATGAGTTAAATGTATGGCGACCAGGAGAAGCCCCCACCACCACCTGCTTCACCACCTCCTCCAACACCTTCTCCAACACCTTCTCCACCACCTGCTTCACCACCTCCTCCAACACCTTCTCCAACACCTTCTCCAACACCTCCTCCACCACCTCCTCCAACACCTTCTCCAACACAACCTCCTCCACCACCTCCTCCAACACCTTCTCCAACACCTTCTCCAACACAACCTCCTCCATCACCTCCTCCAACACAATAGCCAGACAACACCCTCAAGAAACTGAGTGATGGCCCGCCCCCTCACCTCCCTCCCCCCTCCCGCCCCCTCACCTCCCTCCCCCCTCACCTCCCTCCCCCCGCCCCTCCTCCACCCCATCCCGCCCCCTCACTTCCCTCCCCCCTCACTCCCTCCCCCCTCACCACGTGTCAAGCCGGAACCATTTTTTTCAGCTCATTGTAAATACTTGGAGGTAACAGAGAGGCCAGAATTACCTCTACCTCTCTCTCTCTCTCTCTCTCTCTCTCTCTCTCACTTTCTTTCTCTCTCTCACTTTCTCTCTCTCTCACTTTCTTTCTTCTTAATTTTCTTTGTATGTGTGTGTGTATGTGTGTGCGTACAAAAGACGTACATGAATAAGCTACTATGTAAAAAGGAATAAAGCAAACACGAGTTATTATCTGAGTGTATGAAAGGGAGAGGGAAGTGAGAGGGGAGGTGAGAGGGGAGGTGAGAGGGAGGGTGAGAGGGCAAGAGAGAGTATAGACATTAAACAAAATATATAGACGAACATAATATAGAGAACTGATGAAAAAATGATGATTAAAAGAGAGATAATGGATAGGAAGAGGGGGAAGGGCTGATAAAGAGAGGGTATAGGGGATAATGGACGATAGGGTGGGGATAGAATGGACGGTATAGAGGAAAGAGTTTGATGATGGTGGTGGATAGTGAAAATGGTGAATTAGTGTGTGTGTGTGTGTGTGTGTGTGTGTGTGTGTGTGTGTGTGTGTGTGTGTGTGTGTGTGTGTGTGTGTGTGTGTGTGTTGTGTGTAGTATAGCATTCATAAATGTTTGTCTGTTCGGTAGTTCACAACGCAATTATCTGTGGTCATATAGTTGGTAACCTGACCTGACCTGACCTGACTTGACCTGACCTAACCTAACCTAACCTAACCTAACCCACTAAACTAATTCCCCCTTTCTTTTTCTCTCTCCCTACAGAGCGAGGCCGGGCGAGCGAGGTGATGGTACGGCCGCGTCAGTAGAGGGGTAACCTGACGAAGAAGAGAAATGCCCAAAATACCTACTACTTCTGCCGGGGTTCAGTAGTCTCTCCGTGTACCAGGGAGAACCGTAGACAGCCAGAGAAAGGGAGAGCTCTTTGTAAGCTCCCTTTCTCTCTTATTCTCTTCGGCGTCATCCCCTTCTGCAGGAATGTTATGGGAAGTTAAGGATACGGGATTGAAGAGTCCTTTATCGAGATCCTAATTTTTGCCACTACGACCACCATTACTACCATCAACGACTTCGTCTCCTCCACCTCTACTACTACGACTACTACTACGACTACTACTACGACTACTACCTCCGTCACCAGAGTCCCGGTGTTGCTCCTCTGATGTGTTCTCCCTCCCGACGAAGGTGAGAGCGAGGGACCGGCCGTCTGCCCTCACCACTACGGCCCGAGCCATGGCCAGGATGAGGGCCATAACTTGCCCTTCTCACTACTGGCCCTCCTCCTCCTCTTACAGGATATCACCTCTATTCCTCGCAGCGTCTAGGAATTCTTCAGTATGTCCCTCTGTAAAGGCCCGACTGAAGGAACCACCCCCACGACCTCCACGGCCCCCACGACCTCCACGACCTCCAGCCACTACATGTACGACTTCACCTGATACCACCCGTCGTTTTTTGGCCTCTTCCTCCACCTCCTGCTGCTACACCTACAGGAAACAGGCGGTGTTCGTGGCCTTCACCTTGTTGCTACTGCAGGTGCCACAAGAGACTGACTCCTACCTCAAGAACTACGACAGGAAGAATGAAGACCATACCATCACTATAGGTGTGTGTTGTGTTGTGTTGAGTCGAATACTATGCAATATTTAGAGGTCTTGTACTGTAGAGACTGTAGAAGTCAAGACAGGTGTACAGGTCAAGACAGGTGTACAGGTCAAGACAGGTGTACAGGTCAAGACAGGTGTACAGGTCATGACAGGTGTACAGGTGTTCTTCCTTCAAGGTCCCGGTGAATCTTGGACAGGTGTGACGGACTGTGAGGTGAAACTACACAAATTAACTCAACACCTGTAGATTATTAGGGTGTGTACAGATGTGTGTGTGGGGAGAGGAGAGGGAAGGGACAGGTGAGAGGGAAGGACAGGTGAGAGGGAAGGACAGGTGAGAGGGGAGAACAGGTGAGAGGGAAGGACAGGTGTGAGGGAAGGACAGGTGAGAGAGAAGGACAGGCGAGAGGGAAGGACAGGTGAGAGGGAAGGACAGGTGAGAGGGAGAAGTGAGAGAAAGGAGAGAACATGAGTGAGAAAGACTTGTATGAACTTACGATGAGACAACCACCACCACCACCACCACCACCACCACCACCACCACCAACCTGTCTACCCCGCGGTCCGTCAGTCTGTCTGCCACTATCTGTCTGTCTGTCTGTCCACGATCCATCCTTCCACACCATAGCTCTCCACACACTTGACGGATTGACTTGAAACTTAGTGGCATAGTGTATCAGGAAAGGCCCTTATTGGTGATTGAAAGTCGACTTAATTGTGTGATTGATTGTAAAGTTATGGTTATTTATTTGGGTTAGGTGATTAGGTAGTGAGAATGTGTATTTTCCATTCCCACATACTTACATACATACATACATACATACATACATACATACATACATACGAAAACAACAATAATAATAATAATAATAATAATAATAATAATAATAATAATAATAAAATAACAATAATAATAATAATAATAAAAAGTAATAATAATAATAACAATAAATTAACTTCTAATTAACAAGCACTTAATGGTACCTCAGAATGCCTTTGTTGTTAATAAAAGAAATTTGACAGAGTTGCAAGACTTAAGTGAAGGAAGGGAGAATTAATGTCATGTTACCTTAGAGGTTTATGAAGGGTAAATGGTGTATATTAAGTATTATTTAGTGTTTTTGTTTATTTTATTTGTTTTATGAGTATTTGTTAATTTATTTATTTGTTTGTTTGTTAATGATGATGATGATATTATTATTATTATTATTATTATTATTATTATTATTATTATTATTATTATTATTATTATTTTTGTTGCTGTTTTTGTTGTTGTTACAAATTTGGTCTCTCTCTCTCTCTCTCTCTCTCTCTCTCTCTCCCCCACCACCTCTCCCCTGCCCACAATCGTTGTCATGGCACGGGAACATCCAGTCGGGAGCCACCAACTCACTCTCTCTCACTCTCTCACTCACTTTCTCTCTCTCTCTCTTTGTTTCTGTCTCTCTCTCTCTGTCTGTGTCTCTAATTCTTTGTCTGTCTGTCTGTCTTTAATCTGTCTATTTATCCATCTACCCTCTCTCTCTCTCTCTCTCTCTCTCTCTCTCTCTCTACTTTAATGGAGATAATAATAGAGATAATAAAGAGAGGAAGAGAAGAGAGACGATGATAAAGGATGATATATAGATAATAGGAAGAATAATACTGAATTAGAGACAATCCACTTACATCCACTTATACCCACACACAAATACCCACTCCCACCCACGCCCACCACCCATCCACTCCCACCCACGCCCACTCCACGCCCACCACCCACCCACGCCCACCCACGCCCACCCACGCCCACGCCCACCACCCATCCACCCACCCACATCACTTGATATCCACATAGCCGCTCCACCTCGTCTCTAGGGATATTTAGTATGTAAATATTATGCATTTCTATTATTTTTCCCTGTGTGTCTCAACCATTCATGTTTTTTCCCTGTCTCATTGGGTTCTGGTAGGGAATTTTTACGGGTTTTTTCCCTGTCTCATTGGGTTCTGGTAGGGAATTTTTACGGGTTTTTTCCCTGTCTCATTGGGTTCTGGTAGGGAATTTTTACGTTTTTTCCCTGTCTGTCTGTCTGTCACCATTAAAGGCCGCTACACCTGGGGATGCGTCCCTTTACCATTATGTAAGGGGTCATTAGCTAAGGGGGGGAACTAATGGGAGAAGGGAGAGGAAAGGGGAGATAGGAAAACGTAGATAAAAGGGGAGGGAAGGAGAGAATAAACGTGGTGGATGGAGGAAACGAAGAGGTGTGGGGAGGAGAGGGAAGGGAAGAAAGGGGGGAAGGAAGGGAGAGATAAGAGAGAAGGAGAAAGCGAAGGAGAAAGGAAGAACTGAAGAGAAAGAAGATGAAGTAAAAGAAAGAAGGAAGAGGAATAGAGAGAGGAAGAGAAAACTGGAAGGGTAGAATGAAAAAAAAAACGAAAGAGGGAGGAAGAGGAAGTGAAGATAAAGGATAAAGAGAAGAGAGGCAGAAAGGCAAGGGAGGAGAGGGGAAGAAGAGAAAAAAGAGAGGGAGAGGAGGTGACACGAAGGAGAAAGGAAGAACTGAAGAGAAAGAAGATGAAGTAAAAGAAAGAAGGAAGAGGAATAGAGAGAGGAAGAGAAAACTGGAAGGGTAGAATGAAAAAAAAAACGAAAGAGGGAGGAAGAGGAAGTGAAGATAAAGGATAAAGAGAAGAGAGGCAGAAAGGCTGACAGGTGGCACTGAGTGGGAGGGAGAGGGCCAACCTGGAATAATGGAAAGTTGCACCTCGTCTCCTTTACACCTGTTCCACACCCGTCCCACACCTGTCAAACACCTGTCATACATCTTTCCCACACCTGTTCCACACCTGTCATATACCTATCGCACACCCACCCCACATCCGCCCCACATTCCCACACCTACACCACACCCGTCCCACACCTACACCACACCCGTCCCACACCCGTTCCACACCTGTCCCACACCTGTTCCACACCCGATGGCTTCAAGATGTATTTATTTTGGTCAACACTTGAATCTAAATTTGTCAGTGGAGGAAAAAATTAATTCTCGTGTGATAGAATGGGTGAAAATTACTTCCTTGAGAGAGAGAGAGAGAGAGAGAGAGAGAGAGAGAGAGAGAGAGACATAGATAGAGAGAGAGAGAGAGAGAGAGAGAAGAGATAGAGAGAGATAGAGAGAGAGAGAGAGAGAGAGAGAGAGAGAGACATAGAGCAGAGAGAGAGAGAGAGATAGAGAGAGATAGGAGAGAGAGAGAGAGAGAGAGAGAGAGACATAGATAGAGAGAGAGAGAGAGAGAGAGAGAGAGAGAGAGAGAGAGAGAGAGAGAGAGAGAGAGAGAGATCAATAATAAACACCTAAGGCTTCTTTCAGGGTAAACTTGGGGTCCCTTAATCACTACTAAATGAGGGAACTTTTACCAAGGGCTGTTAGATGCTGTTCCAGGGCTGTTAGGTGCTGTTCCAGGGCTGTTAGGTGCTGTTCCAGGGCTGTTTCGGGGCCGGTAGATAGATAGATAGATAGATAATCGACCTCAGTTGCCATGGAGACCAAATGGGGTGAAATATTGTTGGTGAAAATAAAGGTCATTGACCTCCTCGGAGAGCTTGGTACACACACACACACAGACACACACACACAGACACACACACACAGACACACACACACACACACACACACACACACACACACACACACACAGGGTATACACATAGACACGGGACACACAGACACACACACACAGAGGAAAACTTTTTGTATGTATGTATGTATGTATGTATGTATGTATGTATGTATGTATGTATGTATTAACCAGAAAATGACGAATTCCCTCAACCAATTTCTTTTTCCAGTATAGTCTAAGTCTATCAAGTGGGTCACCCTGTGTAAAAAAAAATTCTTCATTCCCATTCCCATTCCCGATATCCCTTATAACTCCTCCTTTGTGATAGATGAAAATTGGAATGGGAATATCAATCAAATTCCATCAGGTTGTTCCTATTTCCAGAAGCAATATTCCCCTATTCCAATACGTCTCACTATTCTATCTTAATTCCCATTCCAATATCATTCCCAATTCCCGTCGTTGTATTTTTTCTTAATACGTAAAAATGTATTTGTGGATGATTTTGAGAGAGAGAGAGAGAGAGAGAGAGAGAGAGAGAGAGAGAGAGAGAGAGAGAGAAATAGCAAACATCACATCTCCTTTAAAGAACCTCTCTCTCACCAGGGTCCTAGCAGGAGTGGACGGCAGCCCTCTTAACCCCTATTTAGTGAGGCATTATAAACTTAACGTAGGAACCTCTGAGAATCCTTTATTCGTAGGAACCTCTGAGAATCCTTTACTCGTAGGAACCTCTGAGAATCCTTTACTCGTAGGAACCTCTGAGAATCCTTTACTCGTAGGAACCTCTGAGAATCCTTTACTCGTAGGAACCTCTGTGAATCCTTTACTCGTAGGAACCTCTGAGAATCCTTTACTCGTAGGAACCTCTGAGAATCCTTTACTCGTAGGAACCTCTGAGAATCCTTTACTCGTAGGAACCTCTGAGAATCCTTTACCTCGTAAGAACCTCTGAGAATCCTTACCGTAGGAACCTCTGAGAATCCTTTACTGTAGGAACCTCTGAGAACCTTTACTCTCGTAGGAACCTCTGAGAATCTTTTACTCGTAGGAACCTCTGAGAATCCTTTACCTGTAGGAACCTCTGAGAATCCTTTACTCATAGGAACCCTGAGAATCCTTTACTCGTAGGAACCCCTGAGAATCCTTTTACTCGTAGGAACTCTGAGAATCCTTTTACTCATATGAACCTCTGAGAATCCTTTACTCATATGAACCTCTGAGAATCCTTTACTCATAGGAACCCTCTGAGATCCTTTACTCATAGGAACCCTCTGAGAATCCTTTTACCCGTAAGAACCTCTGAGAATCCTTTACTCATAGGAACCTCTCTGAGAACCTTTTACTCATAGGAACCTCTGAGAATCCTTTACCGTAGGAACCCTGAGAACTT